CGCACCGAAGAGCCAGTAGTAGCCGTTGCTCTTGTTCATGTCCTTGGGCTTCAGGAGCGCGATTGCAACGTCCGCCATGCGCTTTGCATCCTCGATTCCATCCCGGATTTGTGCAACCTGTGCGGCGCTGCACTTCTCGTCGTCATACGTGCCTGTAGGTGGGCTGGGCACAGGACCAGACAAAATGTGTACGTTCACGACGTTAATGTGGGGGTCCATAGCAGCGACGTCGAGAGGCGGCTCGGCCGGCGCGAGACCCGGCAGGTTGAGCGAGAGGAAAAGTGTGATTGCTGGCTGGAAAATTGCGCGCATCGCAGGGAAATGTTGGTGCTGGAAAAGTAGTCTGCGAAGGTGACTGCATATATACCATTCGGTCCCATCCTACACAGAGTCAAGTACCCATTCCCTCTGTCAGCGCAAGAGTGCGCCACACGACGAGGATGGGATAGCCAGGGCCAGGGCCACAGCCCGGGGTAAGTACTAAGCTTGAAGCCCAACTCGAAGTCGGACCCGCGTCTCGGGATCATGTTTCGCCGGAGGCTGTTCTAGGGCCGAAGGTATCCAGAGCAGGAGGTCGTTGTTCAAAACAAAGACAGACTGGTAAAAAAAAACAAGAAACACGATAGTACAGCCAATTCAGTTAACAGTGCCAGTAGTGCTGTCCAATTATGATTATGAATACGAAATTTTCATAATTTATTCATATTCATAATATATTCTCTCTGCTGGAGCATATTATAATTGTATTCATATTCATAATCATAATTGGGCTCAGAATATGAATATATTATGAATATATTCAATTATATTCAAGCTTCACAAGTCTGCACATAGTGCATATAATCCACCTTATCTCATGGTTTATTGAACCACTCCTTGGTTATGGTTGTTTCTGTGGCCAATTTTGCAGTCATTGAGGCATGCATATCTGTCATCCTATGCTTGATGCTGGAGTCTGGAGACCAGGTGCCCTACAGAGATGCTCTTTGCAGCCATAACCAGGATTGGTAACATAGCCTGGATATTCTACAACAAGATATTAAGCTGAACAAAACTCTAGCCTAGGTCAAGTATGATATCTTCACCAGCGAAGAGTATCATCAAAGTCCAGGGTAGCAATATAAAGGTCAACTTCAGCCTTCTGTCAGGGCTGGATATGGATATTGTCCGGCCTGATTTACTGCCAAAAGCCATTGATATGGTAAAGACTGAGTTTGAAGATGTTGCTACTGCTGCTAGTAGCCTGCTACAGAGCTAGTACCTCTGGCTGAAGGGCTTGCTGGTGTATTTGAATATAATTAATTATGGCCAAGGTATAATATATTATATTCATAATATATTCATATTCATAATCACTCATATTCAATGGGTCTGAATATGCAAAGGGCATAATATAATCATATTTATTCGAATATATTCAAAATATATTCTAGCATAATATAATTGTGGACAGCACTAAACAGTGGGAACAGATAGCAAGCCTGTGACGCACCGAAGGCGTAGGCCAAACCACTTCTACTATACTGGCACTTCATTGGATGCGCGACGGGGAACGGCAGTAGCTTTCGTAGATGGTCGTTTGTGTCAAGAGGAGTGACATCAATCTGATGGGCCAATGATGGCTTCGTAATGCAGCGCCAAGAAGGCGTGAAGCACCAATTCATGATAATGGGCGAAATTTTATTAATTCAAAGGGCGTTGATGGAATACGGGAATGTAAGTACGCTGGGATAGCCGGTCGGTGTCTAGCACTCGTGTCGGGCGTTGACTGCGTGAGGTGAGTCCGCGTATTCATCAGGGGCGGGAGGGCGGGAGGACGTACCGGGGCAGCCGTTCTTGTCGATGATGGCAGCCATCTGCGCGGGCGTGAGCTGCTTAACTGGGGCAGCGGCGACGGGCGCCTTCGCGGGGGCAGCCGGCGCTTTGGCCGGGGCAGCCGGGGCCTTGACCGGCGCGGCCTTAACGGGGGCGGCAGCTTTGGCGGGTGCAGCGACTTTGACAGGAACCTTAACTGGGGGTTTGGCCGGCACTGGGGCTGGAGGATCACGCATATCAGCTGGTGAATCGTATTCCCGTCTAGAGACCGTACCAACAGGGGGCTTTTTAGCGGCGACGGGCGCAGCGCGGGCGGCGATGTCCGAGTCCTGGTAACAGTCAGCGGTTGAGAGGATGGCGAGTACGTTGAACTGACAGGTGCGGCGAACTCGGTGGCTGCGGTCTGCAGCGCAAAGAGCGTGGTGAAGAGGACGACGACGGAGAAACGCATGGTTCAAGTAAAAAGCGCAAGGTCGATGGTGGTGAAGAGCGGGAAAGAGGACAGGGCACGGCCGATGGGAGGGAGTGAAGTGGAATGGAGTTGGACGGATGAGGGGGCACGTATAAGTAATGCACAGCCCATGGGGCGATGGGTGATGTCCAAACTATCAAAGAAGCGCGGAGGAATCACGGAAGCAAAGAAGCGTTGAGCTAGGGTTCCAACCGTTGAATGTGCCTGAAGTGTGCGCCACACATTGTGACAATGAATGCGGACCATGCCAACTACTACTAGTAGGCAGGCTAGGGGCGTCGATAGACGCCGCAATTCAGAGTTGATTACGATCCGTATACCAGACGTTGCCTTGAAGTCACTGGCACGCTGGGCGACAGCCAGGCCCATGAATCTGCCCAAGACATCTTGCGGAAGATGTCGACAATCGCTCGGTATTCCTTCTTCACCGTAGGGGTCGAGGCACCCTCGATATAGCCGCCATCGTGACCTTCTGTTAGCACCCTATCTCATCGCTGTCATGGCCCCGTTAACGCTTCGCATCTCCGGAGCACGGGCTTCGAACCTCCTGTTGTCGTTTGAAGCTGCCGGCATACCCAAAACACCCGGCAGATGCGAGCGGTTGGGACGGCGTTTCGCTGTCAAGGCCACGGATCCGAGAAAAGTGGGAGAAGACAATAAAGGACGGCGGCAGGAGGGAGACGCTAGAGGGGTTCCGTGAAGAGCGGCAGCACTTGTTCCGAGTCGTAGGTGCCGTGCAAAGACCGGAAACACCTGCGAGAGCTTGAATATAGTGTGATCTATGCTTGCGGAGTCTGGACTTGGCCAAGATCCTGGCAACGAATCCGCGGGGCATAGTGTCGGATTCGAGTTACAGCAGAGTAAGCGAGAGGGGGAGAGACATAGGTCTTGGGAGGTATTGGGCAACTCGATGCGCTACGCGCATGGGCGGCACGGCATTCAGTGGGGCGGCTTGAAGTTGACGTGGCAAAGAAAGGTAAATGTCTGTTTCTGTGTTTGAGGGACATGTTGTTCAGACGATGGAGCCGGGTGAGTGGCTTTACAGTGGGCTTGGACAGCGTCAGTTCGACGTGGCAGAATGTCAAGCATCGTCCGACCAGCCTTCGCAAGAGAGTCTTGTGTTACATAACGTTGGGGCCAGAGCGCTAGCGCCAGCCGGCTTGTCTCTCGCTGGTTGCGCAAACCTTCAAGTTCGGCCGGCAGATCCCGCGGATCTCGGAAATGCGGATTGTCGGCAAAACGACTGGTGTTCCGCCGTGCTTCTTGCTGATATGAGCGACCGCGACGGCAATCCCGCGAGACGCGTCAAACCTAGGGATGCGCCGAGACACTTGCGTTACCGACATCTAGCTTGCAGCAAAGATTTTGCACCGGTGATGCCTCCATCTTCACATCGGTCGTCTTGCTTGTGTTTATGTCCATCGTCCCTGCGCGATTGCTACAGGGATTCAATCTTGAGTGTTTGCTGATGTGTAGCCCAGATCATGATCGCTCACCATATATATAGTGGGCGGCCAACGCAGAGTGGTCTCCAGCCGTGCTCGACTTCCCGCCACCCTCCTTGCCTTCAACCCCCAGCCTTCAACTTCTACTACCGCGTTCAGCGTCCTCTTGTTCCTCTTCTTGTGGCGTCGTCTTTATCAACCCGACGTTTGCGCTGACTGGAGCTTAGCATCGATATCTTTGCTGCAAAATGAAGTTCTTCACTTTCGCCGTCGCCGCGCTTGCGTCCTTCGCCTCGCTCGCGACTGCTGCCCCGATTCCTTCGGACGTTGTCGCAGAGAGCCTGTCCATTGAGCTTGATGCTCGTTGGTCTGGCCTCGAGGCGCGTGCCGCCCTCAAAGTGCCCACTCCCCAGGAGTTCATCAACAAGGGCCTTATTAAGGCACCCAGGAAAGACAAGGTCCGTTGTTGCTCCCACCTCTGTCTGCATATCTGACATGTTGCAGGCGTTTTTCTGGACTGGCTCCCAGGTCCAAGCGACCGATGCTCGCCGGCTACGCTCTGTCGCGCTCGACGTCGCCGCGAAAAACGACTTCGACATTGTCGGGGAGATGCTCTCTGATGACGCCCTGCGACTAATCAACGGTCCGAATGCGCCGGTTACGAAACTCACCGCTGTTGAGGCAAACAAGTTCGTCGAAGACTTCTGGGACAACGCCAGCGCCGCATTCGCAGAGCTCACCACGGGCCGCGTCACCATTATGATGGAGGGCGACCCCAAGACTGGCCCTGCACCAGAGGCCAGCAGCGTCTTCCAGCGCATCGAGCGGCCCATCCTCGAGCAGCGCGCCAGCTTTGGTGTCAAGGCCGTTACTGGCGCAGATCGCATCGGCCGCGACTTCCAGACGACCAAGCTCCGCGTGCCGTTCAGGCTCTAGATGACGCAACGCAAAAGATGCCCCTGTCTCTACTTTTAATCATTTTTATCTATAGCCGTGTTAGTTACTTACTTCGGGAGGCCGGGACGCCGCAGTGCAGCCGTTCTTTAATGATATAAACTCTTTTTTACTATGCTTTATCGCCATCCGTTGGAGGACTGATCATGGTCGTCAGTAATCTCTCGTCAGTAAGTATGGTTGCTTGCGCACCTGACATCCCCCAGTCCACCCATCTTCCCCGAGAAAGGAGGAGCTTTTGACGCGCGACATGATGGAGCAGAAGCAAAAGCCGTCATGTGTGACGTGGCGTGGCAGTGCAAAAGATTCACACTTCTCTGCGGCTTACCACCATGTCCTCTCTATCGCTCACCTCTCTCGAGTCCCAACCGGCGACCGATGCTGGAATTACCGCGCTCACAGTACACATCCCTTTCGCGTCCGACGCCCCCGACCGCCACCTCGCGGCATACCAGGCGCTCAAAGCTGCCCGGGGCATCGCCGCCAACGAAAACTACACCGAAGAGTGTGCGGCGCTGGCACTGGAAGCTTATCTGGACCCCGCTCTCACTGAACAGCGTCACCTGTGGCGCGAGCGTGTGCTGGCGCTGACGAAGAGCGTTGTCGACAAGAACGCGGCGAGTCTGAAACATGTGGAGAACATTTTGCCGAGCGAGGGTGTTTTGGAACTAGTGGATTTTACGCAGGCATTGGAGGGGCTTGAAGCTCTGGAGTCTCTGAGCGTGCAATGGGTGCGCATTTTCATTTGTCGGACATGCCACATAAATTCACCAGTTGTCAGCCGCTCCGAGGAACACTTCCGACTACGATCCTGCTCAACGCCGACCTCTCCTCTTCCACTGCCCTCGCACCCATAACGGAGAGTTATAACGAATTTCAAAGAGGATTGACTGGCCTGCTCGCCAAACACGCTGCTACGCTGCGCTCGCTCCGGCTCTCCCTTCCACATAAGGCCTCGGCCGCTCTAACCTTCTCCCCTTCCCTCATTCCCACGCTCCCCAATCTCCACATTCTTGACCTCACCCACTCTTCGCCGCCCATCCCCGCTCTTACGACCCTCCTCTCGTCCCCAGCTGTCCCTGCCCTCCGCCACCTCATACTCGACCATGGCGCAGAAATCCCGCTCTCTGACTTTGACGACGAAGACGAATTCGAAGAAGACATACAAGAGCAAAAATCGTGGGCCGCTCTCGGAACGTGCATCGCCGCCCGCCAGACCCCATTGCGTTCGCTCTGCGCCGCTCTACACGACGCGCGTGCCTCAAGCTGGCCCGTCGGCGTGCGTATGACGCCAGACTCTCTCCGGTCCGCGCTTGCTGCGGACGTAGGTAACCTCGTGCTGTGCACCGCTTGGCCTGGGTTGCAACCGGACAGTGAGCAGGAAGGCAAGGCGGATTTGTACAGCCATGCCGAGGGCTGTGGACATCTCGCATATGGAAATGAGTGGAAGCCAGTCACAGGGCTGTGGTCGGCCAGTAGCGAGCAGGGCCGCGCGATGGGCGTGTTGAAGGGAAGTGTGTGGTACTGAGACGCATGCGACAGGAAGCGGAATTAAATGATTGAATAAGTGTATTATTCTCGTGTACAATGACTAATAATGAATGCCTATCTGCAATCTTGTTTCGGTCAAGGCTTGGACCTAGGCCTGCAACTTATCCACCACGGCTGATGCTGCAGAGCTTTCCCAAACCTATCAAATGGAGATTCACCATCGAACGGGGAATATATCGGCTAAAAACTCTCCCTTTGATATGAAGGCCCTCCTGTCAGCCAGAATCAGTCAGATATCTCAATAACAAGACCCTTGTTGCGGTGCTGTCACTTCTATGGCCGCGGTGCCAGGGCTAGGTTTGTTTGTTTGTTTGTAATGGTTGAGAGGAACAGCCCGAACAGGCACTCCACCCAACTAAATCTCCATGTGCTGATCAACCACGACTCATTGCTAACAGTCTATCAAAATTCATCTCGCTGCATGCTCCCACTTGATGGTTTGCATAAACAATGCCAATCTGTCACAGAGTCTATCTAATCCATATCTGTTGTCAAAATTCACATATTAATCGCGGCACTAGATATGAACCTGAGATTCCCAACTGCCCACTCAACCGATCCCTTATCCATGCAGGACGTGCTAGCCATTGTTGACGATAATGACCCCCGGATACGGTATCATGGGGGTTGGTTAATATCAGGTGCCCATAAAGAGTTTGCACAAACTACACATTGTGCAACCACAGTTGGGTCAACAGCATCCTTCATATGGGCAATATACTGTAACATTAATAAACAACATCTTCAGGAAAATGACATACATAATTTTGAGACAACTTCAATTATTGACAACTTTTTTTTTGATACAAGTGGCACTTATATCAAGACAACTTTACACCACATCAGGACAACTTTTATATAGGACAACTTAGGTTGAGGACAACTTGGCAAAGGTATTAGACAACTTAGAAAGTGACTGATTTAAGGCAAGGGTAACTTTTCTGGCAGGTGGGTATAACTTTCCCTTGACCTAAGACAACTATTTTTAGTCAATTTTCAGTTCAAGGACAACAACTCATTTCTCTCAGTCAAGTTGGACCAAAAGACAAATTAGTGATTGCTTACTGAATAAGTATCAGGCAAAACTGATTTTTTGACAAGATATACTGGGAGAGAGATTGCTCTACATAGGGCTTCACAGGTTCTGGTAGAATGAAGTGGCTAATAGAACAGCCTGACTATAAACATCTATGTCATGGTTTCCATCCTCTGCATCCAAGTCAAAATCTCATAGAGGTTATTGAGAAAAATACCAGCACTTTATTCCTTCTCAATTATAAGGAAACACTGCCAAATTACATATATTTCTGTTTTTCATACCAAAATAAATTTAAGATGTATTGGCAATACGCAAGTCAAGTTGTGTCAGGATGGTCACCACATGGCATTACATGTGGCATCATTAGTCAGCATTTGCGCAGCCTGTGAAACTAAGTTGTACCTGCCCCAATGAAGCTGCATCTTGTATTTCCAAACTTGTACTTTGATTATTTAAAGTTGGCTTGTTCCAGAATCAGAGTTGTACCTTGTCTGTGCCGAGTTGTCCTTAGCCCAAGTTGTTCCAGATAGAAGGTGCCTTGTCAGAATACTAAGTTGCCCACAAGTGCCAATTACTTGTTTAATAAAATTTTGAAGTTGTCTTGAAATTACCTATGTTTTTATTTCAAACTTGTTGTTTATTAATGTTACAGTATATTGCCCATACCTTCACATTTACTGGTGTGTACTAGCAGCTCTCCAATACACCAATATCCCTCACAATACACAGGCAATGCTATTGAAGTGTATGGCATGACCACAACCAATTCAACTGCTGCAGCACTAAGTATTGGCCTGGATGGACAAAATAATCAAGTTGTTCGGGCTTCACTTTCCACCTCATTGACAACATACCACAACCTGCTTTATACCTCCGGCACCCTCAATAGCACTGGCCTGCACACACTGTTAATCACCCAGACAGCACTTGATCCCCAGATTGGCTGTATTCTCTGGCTCGATTACTTATCTTATTTATACACCAAGAGAGACTGGCAGCAATGATGATGTATACTTCCTGGATGATGATGACCCAAGCATCATATATTCATCAGCATGGACAACATTCAGTGGAGAGCAGTACATGATGCAGACATTGCACACAACTCTGAGCAAAGGGGCCCAGATGACTGTGCCTTTTCAGGGTGTGTCCTTTGAGCTCTAATATTTTATTCTTGTTACATCTGTACATTTAGGTTGTGGAATGTCATACTTTGGGTCAATTAAATCTGCAAACTAAGGCAATCTGTCAGTGTCTCTCGATGGTGCTGCACCAATCTTCATTATGCCATCCACACTATCGAGTATTATACAGATGTGACAACACACAGGAAAACAGATGCGACACATGTCACGTCTGGCTCTAACAAAGATGTCGCATCTGTTCGAGCCAAGCCAGACGCGACACGGCGATCTACGCCGCATTTGTTTTTGCGCTGTGCAGCGAGCGCATGGCGCTGAACAGCTGTGACTAGCGTGACAATTTTCTTTTTGCTTTTGCTCCCCACCATCCCCAGCACCCAGCACCCAAAACCGACGCGACGCGACCCGCCCCCAATGCCGCCCCCGATGCGCTCACCCGAAGATCAGGCGCTCGTTGACAGCCTGCCATACGCGGTCTTGATGAGCTTCCGTGATTCTGTACATACATCCATCAACGCGTGTCCCAGACGCTGATGCGTCTTCCTTAGCTCTTATGTGGAACCAAATGTATTGTGAGTAATACTAAAACTAGTACCCACCCATCGTCGCTCGGCGAAGTCACGCGGGTGCACGATCTAATCGCCCCAGGGAACATTGTAAGGTTGTTGGTGGCGGGGAGCGCAATGGCCCCGCCTGACGTACCACTCGGAGGAATGCCTTTACGCACACCACCGCCCGGCCAAACCGCGGCACGGTCCGATAGGCGGTGGTAGTGTGGGACTCGGGGAAAGCTCTTGATGGCTCCGGACACCCAAGGTCTCCTTCATCGCCGCTACCCAATACCCACTAAAACTCCGCTCTCCCTGGTCCAATCTTGAGGGAGATAGTCCTCGCTATCCAGCGTTCCAGCCCACGTCCGCAGCACGAGGGATTTGCGCACGGCTCTCGAGCTGTATTTCGCCCTGTTTGTTAACAGCCGGTCGATTGTTAGTCTGCGGTTGATCATTTCCCTCCACCTATTGCGAATCTCGGGTGTTGAGGGCTGTTTTTCGTTGATGACCCGTTCGTTTCGTATACGCCATATCAGGTGTGCGGACTCAGAAATTACGATCCGGAATAGCCTTGATATTCCAGGGCCGTTTCTAGGTTGTGCGGCTTTCTTTTTCATCAAGCCACAGGCCATGATTTCGCCGGAGGAGTGGTTTGATTAATGGGGCGCCTGTCTTCCGCTCCCAGAGCTCGCTGACGAGTTTCCAGATTTCTTCTTGTCCCGGTGCATCGCAGCTCGTTAAGATGTGGCCCATGGTTTCTTCGCACTGGCAAGTTTTACATATGGCTCTGTCTTCGAAGCCGTTGAAGTTCTTCCAGTGGTTCCCCAGTACATATCCCTTGTGGATGACCAGCCACAGGAACTGTCGTATGTTCCTCGAGATGTCTTTATGGCGAATGGATTTCCAGATTTGCGATGGAGAGGGGACACTGCCGCCGTCAAGTTCTGCTGCATCTTGGGCAAATATAAGGTTAGTGTTTGTGTCCCTGCGGTCCAGCGCCTCCTGGATCCGCGGCTTTTCTGCTTCGATTGCTTTAATTGCTTGGTAGGCTGTCGCTTGCGTCATAGACTTGAGTTTAGCTCCGGGAAGGAGGAGCTCGGGTGGGATTGTCGTGTCGATACTCGGCGCGTTGTCTTTCCATCTTCCCTCATCCGCCAACCGGTCTGCTTCTTCGTTCCTGTGAACGCCGCTATGGCCTTTCACCCATTTGAGTAGCGTTGGGGCTTTCCTTTTCCTGATTCTCGCGCTTATTGTCCTCAGCAGGTCACCGTTTGTGCTTCGCATGAACCCCTTGTCTTCCCACCTCTGGAGGTGTTTGGTCATTCCTTCGACAAGATACCTTGAGTCGGACAGGATTTTGAGAAGGACATCGCTTGGGTTGCGCTCGATAGTCTCCTTTGCTGCCAGGAGTTCTGCGGTCTGGTTAGATGGTTGGAGCTCATCGGGGACACGTATGGTCATGTTCCGCACATCGTTTAGGCCATAATACGCTCCAGCGCCAGCTCTGGCATTTGCGTGGCCGTTGTTTGTGGCGGATCCGTCGGTGTATACCACCACGGCTTCTTCATCAGGCTCGGGTTCCTGCTTGGTGTTTGGTGGGGATGTGGCGCTCGACAGGCCATTTGTGTAGATGCAGAAGGCATCTGCAATTTCTCCGTGCGTGGTCACTCTTGTATTAAAGAGTAATTCACCTTCCGCTAGGTTGACTTCCACTGCCTCGCCTTCCCAGTCTTCCGGTTGGGGGCGGAGGGGATTCCATTTGTCCTCGAGGCTGTCGAGGAGGCGCTTGGCCTTGGCGAAACACTTGTGTGGGTTCTCACAGTTCGGGCAGTTCTCGCGGATTTCATTGCAGTTCTCACAGGTGCAGTTGTATCGTGGTCGGTGTCCCTCAAGATTCAGGGCTCGTGCCATGTTTTCTGCCTCCGCGACTCGCAAGATACGGAGCAATGCGGTGGTGTTCTTCATCCAACGACTGGTAACAAACTAACCCGTGGCTTCGGTACGTCTGAAGCAGTGGCCTTCTTTTTGTACCTTGACTCATTCATAGCACACACCCATATCATCAACGGAGTTGCTCGTGACGGCAACGCTGTCCATTATCCCTGTTATGCCCACCGAACCATATTTGTCCCGGTTAATCCTGCTATCCGAAAAGCTCTCGTCGTCCATTCCGGCACTCCACACACGCACATTTTTCCCGCATTTACAAAGAAGACCCACGAGATAACAACGGCTGACGAGAACT